CGTGGCCAGCCCCCCTGGGGGGTGATTTCTCGCTTTCTGTCTCTATGTCTCTCTCTGTCTGTCTGGCGAGCGCTCGTGCCCTACAGTGAAAATCTCTCAAAAAAAAAAAAAATACACTGGGGTATATGTGCAGGTTTCCTAAATTTGGAGTGGAGAGTGGATTGAGATGTGGCCATTCCCCTCGAAGGGTGATTTCTCACTTTCTCTGTTTCCAGCAAGTACATGTGCCCTGTGGACAAAAATCGGAAAAAAAAAAAAAAAAAAAAAAAAAGAACCTTAAGAAGAGAAGCAAAAAGACTTCAGACTAGCATTTTATTTTATTATTTTTGCTATAGGACACATGCACTCACCAGAAAGACAGAGAGAGAGAGAAAGTGAGAAATCACCCCCCCACGGGGGATGGCCATGCCACAATCCCTTCTCCATTCTCCTCTCGGGATTTTGGGCACTCACACACACGCACCCAGCATGAGTTTAAGCCACCAGGTCTGGGACTCAAACCACTGTCAACTACATGGGAGTCCAGCAACATAGCCATTATACCACCTGCTGGTCCCCAGACTAGCATTTTAAATGTTATAATAAATACTGATTTTTTTTTCAGGGTGTGTGTGTGTGTGTGCGTGTGCGTGCACATGTGCACCATTCAACATGTGTGCTCACGGAAGAGAGACAGAGAGAGGGAAAGTGAGAAATCATCCCCTAGGAAGGATGGCAATGCTTCAATCCCTTCTTCATTCTTCTCTCAGGATGTTGGACATGCATGCATATGCACCCGACGTGACTTTCAAATTGTTGGATCCAGGACTTGAACTGTAGCTGACCATGTGGGAGTCCAATGCCTTAACCAGGTCACTAACTGCTGGCTCCAATGTATTGATTTTTAAGATACTTAAATTCAAAAAGAAATCATTTGTGTTCTTGGGACAGAATGGTAGAAGTGTATTTCATAACTTAATTTTACTATATTAGTAGTTATATGTGATTTTATTTTGTCACAGTAAAAATATATGTAAAAATACATCAAAATAGCCCATTCCTTTTCTGTATGGATTTTCAACGTGCTAATAAAGAAATAGTGGACCCCACCTACTTATGGATTGGGCCTAATGAAAAGACATTAACAAGTAAGTTATTTGATTTTCATGTTCTTTTTAATTATGTAAAGTTTTTTTTTCTTAGGAAAAACTAGTTTATTGGAAAGAATAAAAACTGAAATCTAATTTTAACTGCAGTTTCATTTACTCCATACTTAGTCAAATTGTATCTTACTCTGTGCCTCATTCTCTCTCCCTATGCAAAATCTAAAGCAGTAACTTTTATATACTACTCTCCACAGCTGTATTAATTTAAAAACCTTTATAAAACCTGAAATTTGCCTCTGCAGTATCAATAACAGGAGATGAAATAGCTAATATGTAATTTTTTATGATGTTAAAAGAGTGCCTTGGAATGTTAGCATTAATAATTTCTGTCTTATGGAAAGAAAGTATATAGTATTGGGAACCAGCAGTTAGCGTAATGGCTATGTCGCTGGACTCCCACGTAGTCGACCGCGGTTCACGTCCCGGACCCGGTGGCTTAAAACTCACGCCGGGCGCGTGTGCGTACGTGCCCAAGATCCCGAGAGGAGAATGGAGGAGAAGGGATTGCGGCGTGACCATCCCCCCTGGGGGGTGATTTCTCGCTTTCTGTCTCTATGTCTCTCTCTGTCTGTCTGGCGAGCGCACGCGCCCTATAGCGAAAAAAAAAAAAAAAACCTCTCCAAAAAAAAAAAAAAAAAAAGAGAAAAAAAAAAAAAAAAGAAAGTATATAGTATTGAAGGGCACTATAATAGCAAATTAATAGCACAGACCCATCACAACTCGCTGCCAAGAACTGAATCAAAGAAAACCAAAGTATGTTTCAAAAGTGTCATTATCTCATATAGTCCATAAAGTCATAGAATAGAATTAAGATTTTGTTGGATTCTTGACATTGAAATAGCCTATTAATTTAAAAAAATTGAGGGCCAGCAGATGGTGTGGAGGTGAAGGTGGCTGGATCCCACATGACCGACTAAGCAGTTTGAGTCCCAGAGCTGATAGCTTGAAAATCACACCAGGAGCCATGTGTGCTTTCATGCCCAAAATCCGAGAGGAGAATGGAGGCTAAGGGACTAAGGTGTGGCCACCCTCTTTAGGGGATGATTTCTCACTCTCTCCCTCTTTCTCCATTTTTTCTGCCTTTCACACACACACTGCAACAAAAACTAAAAAAATTAAAAAATAAAAGACTCATATCTATTTGTAACTCAAAGTTTACTGAATAATGTTTAAATTGTTACATATATGTTTTTACTAATATATGATAATTATATATATTTGTGGGAGTAAAATGTGATTTTTTTTCTTTTTCTTTTTTTAATAGCCAGAGGGCATATGAGCTTATTAGATAGAGATGTAGAGACAGAGAGAGGAGAAACACCCCCCTATACACAAGGGGCATGGTCATACCTCAGTCTCGTCTCCATCCTGCCAGGATTTGAAACATGCATATGTATATGCCTAGAATGTTTTTTAAATCTCTGGGCCAGGATTTGAACCATGGTCGGCCATGTGGCATTCAGCTCCCTTACCCATTAGGTCACAGGGCTAACTGACAATGTGATTTTCAGTACTCATTACAAAAATGTGTAATGATTAAATCTGCGTAATTAGTATACCCATCATCTTAACCATTTGTCATTCCTCTATGTTGAGAACATTCAAAATCCTCTTTTTTAGTTACTATGAAGTATATAGTAGGTTATCATTACCTGTATCCCTCCTACTGTATTCTGTAACACAAGAAATTGTTCCTCTTGGGACCAGCAGATGGCGTAATGGCTATATCACTAGACTCCCATGTAATCAACCATGATTCCAGTCCCAGACCCAGTGGCTTAAACTCACACTGGGTGCATGTGTGTGCGTGTCCAAGATCCCAAGAGGAGAATGGAGGGGAAGGGAATGTGGTGTGGCCATCCCCCCTGGGTGATGATTTCTTGCTTTCTGTCTCTGTCTCTGTCTTTCTGGTGAGCGCATGCACCCTTTAGTAAAAACTCCTCCCCGCCCCAAAAAAAAGAAAAGAAAAGAATTTTTTTTCTCTTATTCATTGGACCACCAAGCCACCTGCTGGCCCCATCCTCTTATCAATTTGTAGTTTTGTTTCCATTAATCAACATCCTATATTCCCCACCCCACCCACATCCTTCTCAGCCTCTAGTAGGCATTCTTCATTTCTCTGCTTCTGGGAGGTCATTTTCTGTTTAATTTCTACATATGAGGGAGAATGTAGTATTTCTTTCTGTACCTGGCTTATTTCACTTGACATTATTGACATAATATCCTCCAGTATTATCCATTCACTCTCAAATGACAGAAGTTCATCCTTTTTAATGACTGAATAGCATTCCATTATATTTATGTATCATATCTATTATATTTATTATATATCTAATGTGTGTGTGTGTGTGTGTATCACATTTTCTTTATCCATTTGTCTGCTGTTGGACCCTTAGGTTGATTCCATAGCTTACCTTAACTATTGTGAATAATGCTACAATAAACTTATTGATTTGCTTTGGCTATATGCCCAGTAGTGGGATTACTGGATCATTTGGCAGTTCTATTGTTAGTGTTTGAGAAACCTTGTACTGTTTTTCACAGTGACTTTACTAATCATTCCTACCAATAATGTAAAAGAGTGCCCCTTTCTCCACATGAATAACCAAACATTGGCAGTAAAGTGCCGCTCAAGAGAAGCGGAATCCCAGATGGCAGTTCCAGCGGAACACACATCCTGTAGAAGGTGCTTCTCTCTTACTCTCTCCATGCACAGGTACTCTATGGTAGAAAAAGAATTAACTAAATAATTTACTATTTCTGTTTAGGAAGTGATCGAATAAATATAACAAAAACAGGAAAGCTGATGGTGAAAGACTTCCTAGAGGCTTTGTCTGGACTTTACACGTGTACTCTTTCTTACAAAACTGTCAAAGCAGAAACTCAAGAAGAAACGGTAGTAAAGAAGAGATACGACTTTATGATATTTGGTAAGCCTTAGGCACTTTTAACGTACACAGTTAGTTTGCATCTGGATTAAGTGTATGATTCCTTCATTTAATGAAAAGGAGTCTATTATAGGAAATCATTATGACTCAGGGAATATTTTTTGGTTTTCTGTATTTGACTAGGTACATTCTTAAATTGACATCAAGATAGTTTGTCTTAAATAACCCTCTTTCAGGTCTCCCCTTCCCACTGTCTAGATATGCAAGCACAATCTATTTTATCACAATTTTGCCAGGTTATTTAAAAACTGATTTTTAATTCTATAAAAGCAAATTAATGATCCTTTCACTGGACTGTGCTGTCAGCAGTGACACTTTCTGTAAGTTAAGACCCTCCACCAAAACAATCTTTTTTATGATACTATTAATTAATCTATATAGCCAACCTGAAGAAGATATTTCTCCTCTTGTACAAAGTAGATAACATATCAGATGAAAATTAACATTTTTTTCATTAAAGTTATTAAATTTGTGTATTTTTGTGAGGACAAACTGACAACATTTTATTAAAGTGAAGTTCCTATGCTGATTTGTAAATCAATGGGATTTAATATTACATGTTATTTAAAAATCATTTGGTAGAGGAAATTAATATAGGCGCATTGTTTTTATTCTCATTTTTTAAGCCTACAGGGAACCTGATTATACATATCAGATGGCTGTACGTTTTACCACAAAATCTTGTATAGGAAGATATAATGACTTGCTCTTTAGAGTGCTGAAGAATATCTTGGATAATTTAATCTCTGATCTATCATGCCATGTCATAGAACCATCATATAAATGCCATTTTGTTAAAATCCCAAGTGATGGCCTTATACCCGAGCTATTTATAGCCTTTCAAGGTAAAAAAAATTTGTTTAAATTTCTTTAACTGTATGAGTTAGTCCTGAACCATGATAGATTACAAAAGTAATTACCATACTAATATAAGACATCTTTTTTCAGTTTGCCAGAGGGTGCATGCACTCACCAGAGAGAGTAGGCCATAGGGAAAGTGAGAAGACACAACCACCCCCGCCCATGGAGCATGATCGTGCTGCAGTCCTTTCTCCTCCAGTTCTCACTCCCTTCAGGATTTCAGGCACACACACATGCACGTTCCCAGCATGGTTTTGAAGTCACCAGGTCCAGGATTCAAACTTCATAATCAGCCTTGTGGGATCCAGCCACCTTAACTAGCAGGCCATGGGCTGGTCCAGCAGAAGACATCTCATAAATAATAGATCTTAAATGTTTGTTAGGCAGTAAAGTATGTCATTAGTCTCAGCCTGATTACAGTTTTAAAAATTATCACAATTTTTACCTTCAAATATAACACATTCTTACCCTTTACAAGCAGTATCATCTTATTAATATAGCCTTTACCTATACAACTAATATTTTATATATAAATTCTTATAGAATTTTATGGGGCCGGCTCCGTGACCTGATAGTTAAGGCAGCTGGATTCTACATGGCCAACTGCATGGTTTGAGTCCTGGACCCAGCAATTTCAGAAGCACCCTGGGCAGGTGTGTATGTATGCCCAAAATTCCTAAAGGAAGGAGAGATGAAGAAAAAGGAATTGTGATATGACCATTCCCCAAAGAGGGGTGCTCCCCCGAAACCCTGTCTGGTGAGCGCATATGCACTCTAGCAAAAAAAGAAAAGAAAAGAAAAAGAGGAAGCTGTGTAAAAGTAAATTCTTACAGAATTTTAAATTATGTTTTTCAGGACTTAAGACAGAGTAACCTAACCAAATTTACTTCTGTTTATTTTAAAGCCTTGTAGTTACTTCCATTAGCCCCCAGATGGAGTGAAATCATAATGTATAAATCACTCAGATTGTATACCTTTCTTTACTACTAGTATTAAATTGCTGAATTAAACACATGCACACATGTATACTGAATTCAGTATTTGGATTCTTATTTGAAATATCTGGAACTTTTTAGTATCTTTTTGTGAATCTGTTGTTTTTCCTCTCCAGTTAATCCTTTTGCACCAGGGTGGAAAAGTGCATGCACTCAATCTATTGACTGTGAAGATATCACTAATCATAACATTCTCCAGGTAAGAATTCTTTTTAATAAATTGTGGACAATTTATTTTTATATTTTTGGAGAATACACTAATTTACTCAATTTCAAAATAATTATCAGGTGAGAATTTTATTATAAGGGGAAAGTATATGAAGAGTCAATAAAGCTATTTGAAAGTTTTAGTAAATACTTCGCTTTTTTTTTTTTTTTTTTGGGGGGGAACAGGTTTTGGCTATAGGGCACGTGCGTGCGCCAGAAAGACAGACAGAGACAGAAAGAAAGAAAGCACCCCCTTCAGGGGAGATGGCCACGCCACAATCTCTTCTCCTCCAATCTCCTCTCACGATCTTGGGCATGCATGCACACGCGCCTGATGTGAGTTGAAGCCACTGGGTTTGGGACTCGACCACGGTCAACTACGTGCGAGTCCAGCGACATAGCCATTATGCCAACTGCTGGTCCCCAATACTTCACTTTTTATAAAGAATCATTTTATTTACTTTATTTGTTTGTTTATTTAAATTTAACCAGAAAGGGACAGAGTGTGAGAGAGAGAGAGAGAGGAGGAGGAAAATGAGAAAGCAAACCACCAGGTCCAGGACTCGAACTGTGGTTGGCCAAGTGGGATGTCCAACCCCTTAACCACCATGCCACCTGCCAGCCCAATACTTTTTTTTATTAATTAAAAAGTTTCTTCAAAAATCTATTTGTTGTGATATCCTTCATAAAAACACTTTTGAGGAGTAAATTTAAATTTTTATTGAAAAAATTTTTTTCATTTACTATAGGTCACATACACTCACCAGAGACAGAGAGGGAAAGTGAGAAAGCACCCCAGGAGGGGATAGTCATATGGCAATCTCTTCTCTATTCTCCTCTCGGGATTTTGGGCATGCATGCACACATGCCAGTGTGTTTTCCAGGCCCCCAGGTCTGAGACCCAGACTACATAGTCAGCCATATGGGATCTAGCTGCCTTAACCACCATGCCACCAGCTGGCCCAATTATTATTTTATTTTTTAAATTTTAAATATAAAGTATTATTGATTTCTGGGTTCAGGTTGAAGATGCCCTATAGGGCATGTGCACTCACTGAAGAGACAGAGTCAGAAAGCAAGAAATCACCCCCTGGGGGGAATGGCCACACCACAATCCCTTCTCTTCCATTCTTCTCTCAGGATTTTGGGCACGCACACACACGTATCCAGTGTAAGTTTTAAGCCACCAGGTCCAGGACTTGAACCATGGTCAACTATGTGGGAATCCAGTGACATAACCATTATACCATCTGCTTGTCCTTACAAATTATTTTTTTAAGAATTATTTTATTTAACTTTATTTACTCATTTATTTTAATTTGACCAGAGAAAGAGAGTGAGAGTGAGAGAAAGCAAACACGCTGCCAGGTCCAGGACTTGAACCACAGTCAGCCATGTGGGATTCCAGAGCTCTTAACCCCTTGCTGGCTCCAGTTATTTCAAAAAAATTTTTTAAACCATAAATTTTTTAAATCATTGTACATGTGAGTTAATAATAGTTGATAAGACTAAGGCTAGATTAATTTTATTATTAACAACTTTTTAAGAATTCATCTATTGTATAGCACATGGCCTGCTTGTGCTACATTTTATTGCCTCTGATACAGGAAGAGACATTTGGTTCATGGCTTAGTAATTGTATTTCTCTTTGATAATTTAAAATCTCAGGCAAGAAATCGAATAGAAGAATTTTTTCGAAGCCAAGCATATATATTTGATCATCGCTTGAATAAAACTTTACCAGCTATGCATTTTGTGCCCCATAGTTTTCAAGTAATACGTATGGATAGCTGTCGACCAGGCTTTGGAAAAAATGAAGGTCTACACAGTAATTGTGCTAGCTGTTGTGGTAATTATAAAATATAAATATCTAAATATCTAGGTTATATTTTCAGAATAGATACATAATTCACTTAAGATCATTGAACTGAGTCTTTACAATGATTCTCTTACAAAAAATGTTATTTAGCCATGGGGAAGTAGAAGTTTAAAGTCCAAATTTCTAAATATAATTTTCTTTCTTTCTTTCTTTCTTCCTTTTTTTTTTTTTTTAGAGGTTTTTGCCATAAGTTGCCTGTGCTTGGCAGAGAAAAAGACAGTGAGAGGAAAAGTGAGACCTCACCCCTGGGAGAGATGACCACACTGCAATACCTTCTCCATTCTTCTCCTGGGATCTGGGCTTACATGCACATGCACTCAGCATGATTTTCAAGCCACGGGTCTGAGACTTGAATTGCAGTCGGCCTTGTGAGAGTCCAGCAATGTAACCACTACACCATCTTCTTGTCCAATATAGTTATCTTAATATAGATTTATTCTTCCTAATGTACTCTCTTATGTTACAAAACTTAAGATTCTTTTTTTAATGGGAGAGAGAAAGAGAAAGATACCTGTTTTGGATAGGATCTCTCCATGCTGGGTCCTTTCTCCCCCATCCTTCCAGTTAGACAGGACCACAGGCGTGCATCACCGTGTCCAGCCTATTTAGATTAGGCAAGGAACCAAACCCAGACCCCCCATGTGGCCCCAGCCATCGTGCAGCAACACCTTCACACTTGCACCACTGCAAGTGAGCCACAAAACACTTCTATGATGTTTTCTTTTCTTTTTTTTTTTTTAGAGATTTTTACTATAGGGCACATGCACTTGCCAGAGAGACACAGAGAGATAGAAAGCAAGAAATCATCCCCCAAGGGGGTAGTCACACTACAATCCCCTCTCCTCCATTCTCCTCTCAGGATTTTGGGCAGGCATGCACATGAGCTTTAAGCTGCCAGGTTTGGGACTCGAACTATTGTTGACTACATGGGAGTCCAGCGATGTAACCTTTATACCATCTGCTGGTGTTTTGACTTAAGCTACTATACTATAAAGGAAAACAATGTTCTACCTAATAAACAGGTATTTTAAAATGCCAATCCTACCTAGAAAGTAGAGAACTAAGAAATAGGAACTAGAAAACTAGAATGAGAACTCAGGAATAGGCACTGCTGAAAATACCGTAAAATACTGATAGCTAGGAGTCTTTCTCCTGTCTTTAAGATCATCAGATTCTAAAGCTTGAAACTCATAAACAATCTTCCACAGCCTAACTAGATGAACATTACTCAGTATAATTTAGCTATAGAAATGATGTGATACTAGAGGCAGATTTCTATTGTTGCTATAAAATACCTCTAAATGATAATCATCTCCTCCATGTGTTTTCCTCTGCAGTGGTTTGTAATCCTGGGACTTTTAGTCCTGATGTTGATGTTACCTGTCAGACCTGCATTTCTGTTCGTATCTATGGAGCTAAATCTTGCCAGTAAATGTCAAGCAGAACCAGCACTGTGAAGAATAGAGGTGAAAGTGCTATCACTTGCGTGTGGAGGTGGAGGTTGTAAGATGATTTGTTCACATCCTCGAGCACCACAGACATTTCCATTAAGTAAGAGCAAAACATTGGGAAACAGACATTTTAGAAGCTTAAATAAAAAATAAAAATAAACTGTTGACATGGCATTTCTAAGAAGATATTTAACCTAGTATCACCAGTATACAAAGGAAAGTTTAAGTATTAGTGGATTATTTTTAATGAAATATGTTTTATTGTTCCCAAATGGAATCTGTTGCTCTGTACCTAATAACACATTAAGGTCTAGAAGACTAGTAAAATACAATAAAAGTTTTATACTTTCCACATATTAATTTGTTTGAAATTACTTTTTTATGATATGAAGGCACTTAGATCACCTTTTTAAAAAAAGAATTATTTTATTTAACTTTATTTATTTACTTTTCTTTAAAAATTTGACCAGAGAGGAAGTGAGAAAGCAAGCCACCAGGTCATGGACTCAAACCGTTTTCGGCCATGTGGGATTCCAGTGCCCTTAACCACCTTGCCACCTGCCGGCCCCAACACCAGTATTTCTTTTATAAATAGAACTAAACAAGTTACTTATTTTGGTCCCTTTGCTTTTTTTTTTTTAATAATTCGTAGGCTTTTTTTTTCTCCTTAGAGGTTTTTGCCATAGGATATGTACCCTCCCCTGAGAGAGAGACAGAAACAGTAAGAGGGAAAGTGAGAAATCAACCCCCCTGAGGGGGATGGCCATGCCTCAGTCCCTTCTCCTCCATTCTCCTCCTGGATTTGGGCACGTCCACACACCTTTGGTGTGATTTTCAAGTCCCCAGGTCCAGGACTCAAACTGTGATCATCCCCAGGGAGTCCAGCGATGTAACCACTATGCTATCTGCTGGCCTCTCATAGACATTTTTTTAGTACAGATTTAGACTTACAGAATAATTGGGCAGGACAGGCCCCATAACGAAATGGTTAAGAGAGCTGGATCCCACATCGGTGACTGCAGTTCAAGACCCTGCCCCAGTGGCTTGAAAAACATACAAGGCATATGTGCATGTATGCCCAAAATCCCAACAGGATGAAAAGACGGAGAAGAAAGAATTATAGTCTTACCACCCCATTAGGGTTTACTTTCTCCCGCTCCACCTCGCTCTGTTTCACTGTCTCTCTCTAGAGAGAGCATTTGCCCTGTGGCCCCAAAAAAAGAATAAGGTGGATAAAACACAGAGTTTCATATACCCACCTCATCCTATCATCCCTCCCCACATGATTTTCGTTATTATTAATATCTTGCCATGGGTGTGACATATTTGTTATAACTAATGAACCACTTTTGATACATGATGATTAACTAAAGCTCATAGTTTATATTAAGGTTCACTTTTGTGCTGTATGATTCTATGGGTTTTGACAAATGTATAGTGACATGTGTCTACATATGATTAACTTAAGTAATTAAATTGAATCTGAGGCCAACCACTTGGCCTGGTAGTTAAGGCAGTTGGGTCCCATATGGCCAACTGTGCAGTTCAAGTCTCAGACCCAACAGCCTGAAAAATATGCCAGGTGTGTTTGTGTGCATGCCCAAAATCCCAAGAGTAAAATGGAAGAGAAGAAATTGCAATGTGGCCATCCTTCCTAGTGGGTGTTTTTTCACGCTCTCTCTCTATCCTGTGCTCTGTACTGCTGTGCATTTCCCGGCACCGATGGGTTATTAACAATAACAAACTATTGATTTCCTATTTGCTTGGTGTTCATTTTTGGCAGCTATGTGGTTTTTTTAAAGAATTATTTTATTTAACTCTATTTATTTTAATTTGACCAGAGAGGGAGGGAGGTTGAGGTTGAGAGAGAGAGAGAGAGAAAGTGAGAAAACAAGCCACCAAGACTGAGACACAAACCACAGTCAGCCATATGGGAGTCTAGTGCCCTTAATCACCACGCCACCTGCTGGCCCTGCTATGTGGTTTTAATAGCATTATGCTTTGAATTACAAGTGTCATATCTTCATGTACTGTGACTACTTTTTTTCAAGAATTATTTTATTTAACTTTATTTATTTTTATTTTTTATTTTAATTTGACCTGAGAGGGACAGAGAGAGAGAGATTGAATGAGAAAGTGAGAAAGCAAGCCACTAGGTCCAGGACTTGAACCACAGTTGGCCATGTGGGAGTCCAGTGCCCTAAACCACCACGCCACCTCTCAGCCCTCTGTGGCTACTTCATCTCGAAACAGTTTTAAAATATAGATATATGTAGTTCACATAATACAGTTAATACAAATTTCTTGTCATCTGTGAAAGCATTCATTAAGTAAAAAAGTCTCTTATTACATAACTTTCAAGAACATGATTTCTTACATGTTTATTCTCTATTAACTGACTAGCGAGGCTGTCAGAGATAATATTTGGGACTAAAAAGCTAAGTTTGTATATCTTTATAATCAACGGTAAGTGAGTCTCTTGTGAGAGTCTCTATGTAGGCATGGGACATTTCGATCTTCCCTTAGGATGTCTTACCAACTACAAAGTAGATTATCCTGGAGTCCTTGCCAAAATGTGTCTACTTACATTACTTGCGTACAAACCTGGTAGGAATATTCAGAAGATAAGATGTTCAAATGTCCTTTTCTGCTAAATTTCTTCAACTGCAAATTTTAGGCTTTTCCTTTTCATTATATTCTTGAGGGTTTTGTTTACTTTAGAGTTAAAAAAGAAAAAACTAAAACATTGTAGGTTCATTTAAAGCCTTTTCGTAATTCTGCTCTATCACCAGTTTCCTTACTCTTCCCAAGAAATAGTATTCTGAAACTGGTGGGTACCCTTCCCACTATAGTTTTTTATTCATTTAATTTTTTTAAAGAATTATTTCATTTAACTTTGTTTCTTTTTTATTTATTTTAATTTGAGCCAAGAGGGACAGAGAAAGAGAGAGAGAGAGAGAAAGCAAGCTACCAGGTCTGGGACTTGAACCACAGTCAGCCATGTGGGAATCCAGTGCTCTTAACCACCATGCCACCTGCCTGCTCCCATTTAATTTTTATATTAAAGATGTCATGTGCAGGGACAGCCAGTGGCATGTTGGTTAAGGCGGCTGTGTGGAATGTCATGATGGTAGGCAAGACATTCTGTGAGCCCACAGGTGACAGTGTCAGCTGAAGCATTTTGAACAAGGAGGGCAAGTCCACGTCTAGAATATGTGTCTATTCCAGTGAGGATGAATCTCTGTTGTCTGGACAGTTTTGTCAGCATAAAAAAAATTAGCACGTAGGTCAATGGATAGCCTTTTCTGTTGTAGGCTAATATATTCTTCTTACATGTATAATAGCACACCCCATTTTGAAACAGAATTGTGTAAAAGTGAGAAAAAATATAAGAACATTTTAAGAATTCTGAAGGAAAACTCATGTCTTCTAAAGAAATAAATATTTCCTTCTTAAAGGTAGAACTACCACCAGAACCATCCTAGAGGAACAGATGCCTAAGGAATTCAAGGGGACAAGCTGCATGTGCCCCTTGTCAGTAACAACTGACAGACACATAGCGCTGTGTGCCAGGATCTGCTCAAGAGTTTTGATGTATTCAGTACTCATATTCACGTAGGAGGTAGATACTCTTTTTATTATTATTATTTTTTAATTTGCTATAGGCACATGTGCTCATGGAGGTCAGGGAGCAGAGGGAGAGAGAGAAACTACCCTCCCCAAGGGGATGGCCCTGCTGCAACCCCCTTCTCCTCTTGGGATTTTGGGCACTCATGCACACGCACCCAGCATGTGTTTCAGGCCACCAGGTTGGGGCCTCAAACTACATAGTTGACCACGTGGGATCCAGCTCTTAACCATTACGTCCCCAGCTGCGCCCAGCTAGATGCTCTTATTACTTGCCTTTTACATATGGAAACAGGCACGCTACGGTCACGGAATTTGCCCAAAGTCACACAACTAATAAGAGGTAGAGCTGGTACTGGGTGTCTCTGGAATCTAGGTTCTTGTTACTAACTATTCTTCCATAGTAAGTTCTATCTTAAGTAATAATTATTTCTAACATTTCACATGAACCCTTCAAACAAAACAGTTTAATGGGGAAGCAGCTGCTAGACAAGTAAGATAATAACAAAATACAAATTTTAATCAAACTTAGTGAGAAAAACTAGCAATAGAGGTCCAAAGGTGAAATAGTGGGGGCCAGCAGGTGGCCATCCTCCTGAGGAATGAGTTCTTACTTTCCCTCTCTGTCTCTTCAGCAAGCACATGCACCCCATGGCAAAAACCTTAAAAAAACTTTTTTTTACTATAAATACCTTTAGCTCTATGAGTGAAAAAAAAGCTTGACGGGACCAGCAGGTGACATGATGATTATGTCACTGGACTTCTACATTCATGAACTGGACTCAGCGACTTAAAACTCATACTGGGCGAATATGCATGTGTACCCAAAATCCCAAAGGGAGACTAGAGAAGAAGGGATTGCAGTATAGCCATCCCCCTAGAAGGTGATTTCTCACTTTCTGTCTCTCTTTGGTGAGTGCACACACCCAATAGCAAAAATCTCTTTAAAAAAAAAAAAGAAAGAAAGAAACAAAGAAAGGAAAAAAATTTGACAGAAGAACAAAATCTGATCTCAAGAAAAAAATGTTTAAAATTATAGTAATGGTGGGGCCGGCAGGTGGCATGGTGGATAAGGGTGCTGAACTCCCATATGCCTCACCGTGGTTTGAATCCCGGACTGGCGGCTTGCTTTCTCAATTTCTGTCTCTCTCACTCTCTCTCTCTTGTCAAATTAAAAATAAATAAAGTTAAATAAAATAATTCTTTAAAAGTTTATAGTAATGGAAAGGGGGAAAAACTTTTATCACTGCCAGGTTTGTGCAGATGTGAGTGGCCCAAAGTGAAAATTACTTTTTTCTGGGTCTCACTGTAGTAAACTACGTATTTCACTGGTAATCTTCTCTTCAGAATTAAATATTAAGTCGGCACAGAAAGAATTTTGGTGTCTCTTACTGAGTCAGAGAATTACAGCTATCAGGAAGTAAAATAACTTCAGACAGCTATGGCACAAAAATGAATTGTGTAGGTTCAAAAGTCCCTGAAGTTGCAGAAACATGACTGGCCAAAGTACAGTTCCAGCGTGCACTCATGTTTGTTATGAAGATTGCTAGAATGGGCTCTGTGAGGGGAAGTTTGGATAGACAGATGCCTATGCTAACACTTTGGGTCATCCCAGGATAACACATGGATATCTGATATCTGCATCTGGGAGCAAATAAAAAGCAAATAAGATGAGGAAATAGGGAGAAAAGAAAAAGAAAATGTGGCTTTAACACCAACCATTGAATAGAAAAGGTTGCTTACACACCATCCAGTGGCACGATGGTTGGAGTGGCTGGATCCCACCTGGCTAACTGTGATTTGAGTCACAGACCTGGTGGTTTGAAACGCACGCCAGGCATATGTGCCTGTACCCAAAATCTCAAGAGGAGAATGGAGGTATGACTGTCTTCCCATGGAGATGCTTTCTACTTTCTTCTGTCTCTCTTCAGTGAGCACATGTAGCCTATAGCAGAAATTTAAAAAACAAAAACAAAAACAAAAAAGTTGTTTACAGTGCCGACATCAAGTGCTTACTGAGGTGTCCAAATGTTCTTGAAGTCTTTCACACAACTTTGAGTGGACAGCTCTCATTTAGGTTCCTGGCCCTTACTTCAGTTTTGGAGAAGTTTCCTGGAGTGTGGCTTACTCAGAAGTCAGCCTAATCTTCTTCTTTATTTATTTTTTTTTTTTGAGAACTTTTGCTATAGGGCACATGCGCCCCAAAGACAGAAAGAGACGGAGAGACAGAAAGTGAGAAATCACCCCCCCAAGGGGGGTGGCCACGCCACAATCCCTTCTCCTCCGTTCTCCTCTCAGGATCTTGGGCATGCACGCACATGTGGCGTGAGTGTAAGCCCCCGGGCCCGGGACGCGAACCGCGGTCGACTACGTGGGAGTCCAGCGACATAGCCATTACGCTAACTGCTGGTTCCCTGTAGCTCAGTTTTGAGCCTAATAGCCAATGATTGTTAAAGCATCTCCCAAGGCATGTCTCCCCTGAATGACAGAAAGCAAGAGAGGAAGATGTCTGAAGTCTACAATGGAAGGACTCTGACTTTCTGATTCTAGTCCTAGTTTTCATCTTCCCCCCTCACCCCCAGCTTTTTGTCCTTTGGGGAACTCTTTTCTTGGGTTTGATTTGGTTCGTTTGTTTTGTTTTTATTACTGTTTTTGCTATAGGACATGTGCACTCACTGGAGAGAGAGAGGGAGATTGAGAAGTCATCCCCCATGATGGGCAATCTGCACTGGATTTGGGGCACCTATGCGCAGGTGCCTGGCATGATTTTCCAGTCACCAGTTCTGAAAGAAACTGTGCAGTCGGCCATGTGAGATCCGGCGCATTAACCCCCACACCACCTGCTGGCCTTGGCTTTATCATTTCATACCTTTGGCAAAAAACATATTACCTCTGCGTCCAGTGCAATACAGTACTGTACTGTGTGACTAGGTACCATCGTCATTTAGATGGCAGTTTAGAGAGGGAGAGAGAATCCCTTAGTGAGGCTCGTTCATGCCACAATCCTTCTCCAAGCCTCCATCACATCCGGATCCTGGGCACATGTGCTTGTGTCCAGCATGTCGCCCCTGGGGCTAGGACTGGAACCAGCTGGCCCTGTGGGACCCAGCTTCCTCTGCATAGCACTTAACAGTTGCCCTTCAGTTCAGCTCTTCATGTGTCTTTCTATTTCTGCCTATTCTAATTCATGGTGTTTGTTTCCTTGAATGCTTCGTTTTTTTGTTTGTTCAGTTTTGTTTACTGAGAATCACTCACTGTCCTTAAAAAATTATGGGGGTAATGGCTATGTCGCTGGACTCCCATGTAGCCGACCGTGGTTCAAGTCCCAGATCTGGTGGCTTAAACTCACGCTGGGCGTGTGTGCGTGCATGCCCAAGATCCCGAGAGAAGGGAGGAGAAGGGATTGTGGTGTGGCCATCCTCCCTAAGGGGTGATTTCTCGCTTTCTGTCTGTCTCTCTCTATCTTTCTGGCAAGTGCACACATGCACCTTATAGCAAAAAAACTCTCCAAAAAAAGAATATTTTGGGGGGCAACCCATTTTCCAGGACCCCTCCCTTTTTAGGAAATCTCTTTTAATAAATTCCCCACTTTGTGTCTGTGACTCCAATTCTTCCTGAGCATGGGACAAAAATCTGTGTCTCACTACAAGTGTGGGCCTGATCACCCCTTGCGCCCCCATGTTCCTGCGTCAAAAGTATAGACATTTAGGACCGGCAGGTGGTGTGGTGGTTAGGGGCGCTGGACTCTCACATGGCTGACCACAGCTCAAGTTCCAGACCTGGTGGCTTACTTTCTCTCTCTCTTTCTCTGTGTCTTACTCTGGTCAAATTGAAAATAACGTTGTGTCGCTATAAATCATTTTTAAAAGTTTTTAAATTATTTTTGGGAATGAAGATGACTTTCTTCAGAGGTAATTTGTTTGATTCTAACAGGCCCTGAGGGTTACCAATCCAAGACCCCCACAAACTAAGTGCATAGTTTGAGATTCCCTGAAATGCTCAGGTGACGCAAATGAAGGCTAAGTTCTGTGTAAAGACTGGACTATGGACAAAATTTCTCAGAATTTTTTTTCCCTTTCCTTTTGTTAACCTCTTTACTCAGTACCAAGAGTACTCTTCCCGCAGTGTCATGGAGGTGGGGTAAGAGCTGTGAGTTTACTGCTGAGTCACTCATACCCTGGCAATGCAACCATTGGAGATTATACTTTAGTATGGGGATAGTCTCCTTCAATTAAACCTCCCAAATAGGCTCTTGGCCTTTGCTTCTATAACCATCAATCCACAAGGCTGGCCAAACCAAAGTTCCAATTTCCAACTACATTTACAAATATTAATTCCCACTCACCTGGGGCAAAATAACTTTAGTGTTCTGATACTTCACTTCCTCTGGGTCTCCAGAAAGATGGGGGGGGTCTTGGGACCAGCAGTTAGCGTAATGGTTGTGTCGCTGGACTCCCATGTAGTCGACCACGGTTCAAGTGCCAAACTCGGTGGCTTAACCTCACGCTGGGCATGTGTGCATGCGTGCCCAAGATCCCAAGACAAGAATGGAGGAGAAGGGATTGCGGTGTGGCCATCTCCCCGGGGGATGATTTCTTGCTTTCTGTCTCTCTGTCTCTCTCTGTCTGGCTGGCAAGTGCACGCGCCCTATAGCAAAAACCTCTCCAAAAAAATAAATAAATAAATAAAAAGAAAAAGAAAGAGGGGGGTCTGGAGTTGTCACAGAACACCTTCATCTTCTGTTTATTTTTTTTTTTTTTAAGAGATTTTCACTATAGGGCGCGTGCGCTCGCCAGACAGACAGAGAGAGACATTAGAGACAGAAAGCGAGAAATCACCCCCCAGGGGGGATGGTCACGCCGCAATCCCTTCTCCTCCATTCTCCTCTCGGGATCTTGGGCACGCACGCACACGCGCCCGGCGTGAGTTTTAAGCCACCGGGTCCGGGACGCGAACCGCGGTCGACTACGTGGGAGTCCAGCGACATAGCCATTACGCTAACTGCTGGTTCCCCTTCTGTTTATATTTGAAACATATTTGAAATGCTTTATAACAATAGTAAGCATATATTTAACTTTTAATTACATTTTCTTTAAAATATCCAATAGAACTAGAAAGCTTATGATGAAAACAAGGTCTTGCTCAGCCTCAGTTTCACACCCCTTAACTTGCACTCCTTAACTGCTTTCTAGCTTCTGAAGATGGTAACATCTTGGGGCCAGCAGATGGTGTAGTGATTACATCACAGGACTCCCACATGGCTGACTGCAGTTCAAGTCCTAGACTTGATGGCTTAAAAATCATGCCAGGTTCATGTTCATGCATGCCCCAGATCCCGAGAGGAGAATGGAGAAGGGATTGTGGCATGGCCATCCCCTCCAAGGAGGGTGATTTCTCACTTTCTGTCTCCGTTTCTGTCTGTCTCCCTGGCAATCACATGTGCCCTATAGCAAAAACAACTCTCTTAAAAAAAAAAAAAAAAAAAGACATGATAAAATCTCTAATCTACTGCTCATTCTTTTTATCTTTGTATGTTTATGCATTTTCTATTGTTTTACTGTCATTTGAGGTTTCAAGAGGGAGAAGAAATTAATATGACCAGTCTACTACTTTTAATAAAATCCAGGCTGATTTGGGACATTAACATGTAGGGAATAGCATACATCAAAGAATACCTGTTTGTTTTTTTTAAGATTTATTTATTTAATTTTATTTATTATTACCATTTTTTAATTTGCTATAGGGCATGTGTGCTCACCAGAGAGACAGAGAGAAACAGAGAGACAGGAAGAGAGGAAACAAGCCACCAGATCTGGAACTCAAACCATAGTTGTCCATGTGTAAGTCCAGTATCATAACCACCATGCCACCTGCTGGCCCCCTCCAGCTGCTTGTTTTGTTTTTTAAGAATGATTTATTTCATTTGTTATTATTATTTCATTTGACCAGAGAAAGAGAAAGTGAGAAAGCAAGCCACCAGGTCCAGGACTCAACTCACAGTCAGCCATGTGGGAGTCCAACACCTTAACCACCACACCAGTAGCCCCTGCTGCTGCTTTTTGTATTTGTTTTTCTTATCTTTTTTTTTAATAGAGGTGGGGGTTTTTTGTTTGTTTGTTTGTTTGTTTGCCTTAGGATACATGTGCCAAGAGGAGAAAGACCGAGATAGAGACAATATAAGGAAAAGTGAGAAATCACCCCTCAGAGTGGATGGCTACGCCACAATCGCTCTCCTCCATTCTCCTCCCAGGCTCTTGAGCATGCACGTACACACACCCAATGTGAGTTTGAAGCCACTGGGTTCAGGACTCAAGCCACAGTTGGTCACGTGGGAGTCCAGCAAGGTAAGTGCTATGCTATCTGCTGGCCCCCTGCCGCTTGTTTATATAAAGCCCTGCTGGTGGTGAGAATGGGCTGCAGAGGGGAGAACCCAGAGGCTTTCAAGGAGAATGGGTTAAAGGACTTTTGTCATTAGGAAGAAACCGAAGTGGGCTCCCCCTTGAGCTGCAGCAGGATGGAGGCAACAACATAGAGGGCACGGAAGGACTGTTGCTCAATGTTACAGTCCTTGTCAGGGATATTGCCCCAGTTATCCATGATGGACTTCACCTGAAAGGGAACACATGCGACTGTAAGAGCTGGGAACAATGAAACGTACCAGAAATGGCCAATGCTTGGTCACACGCCTTAATCCTGAGCCCCCGGGCAGATGCACTAACCCATCATGGCACCCTCCTAGGGAGCCCGGAGACCCTCCTCTCTGTGTTGAGAACGAGGTACTATGGATCCATCAGTGTTCATACTCAAGGTAGTCCCAGCTACCACCCTGCACTAGCCGTTCTCCATTCCTCTGTTGCCCATAGGTAAACAATGGAGCCTGGCAGCTGTGTGTTTAGACACAGTTAACAAGGAGATTGTCACCAACCAGCTGCATGGATGTGAGCTGGCAGAAAACCACAGAGTAGAATGTACTGTTCCCTGGGACTTCTGGGTCTCTTGAAAACATAGGTATTCACTTCCATCATGACTCTGGCCCTCAGCCCAGGCTGGCTCACCTCATCCTTCAGCCGGGGCAGGGCTCCCATCTCCAAGGCTTCAACCACAAGCTGCCAGTCCTCAGAGATCTCTGAGGGCCAAAAAGAAGGTAGTTGGCAGAAAGGAGAGGCACATGGTAGGACAGGGCTTTTGTGGCTGATTGGGCCCAGAACATGCATCAAATGGCGGTTCCAGAGGGCCCCAGGGAGCACAAGGTGGGAATAATTCCAGACGAGCTTCTGCTGGGCTCCCGCATCCCCCTTAGGAGGTCGTAAATTATACCAAGGGGTAGAGGAGGCGGCCTCTCTGGTTGGGCTGGGGAAGGAGTCTCGTCCCTGCAATGTGGAAGGCAATGGGCACCCCTCCTCCTGAGATCTAATTCCCCACAGGCCTCTCTGCCCGGCATTTCCTCCACCTCAGCAGCCCCTTTCCTCACCTATCAAGGCATCCAGGAGGCCCAGAATGGCTTCTGCACGTTCTTTTACAAAATTCCCAGCAGCATTAAAAAGGCTGCATATGAGAGGCCCTGCTGGGCCCTCGTCCTGCAGCTCGCCACAGTCCAGGACTTCAGTCACCTGGGGCCAGGAGATGGGGAGATGAGCACCAGTCCCACCACAGCAGATTGCCCTCGGGGTGCCAGCTGCCCTCCCCACTGGGTCCTCTCTGCCCTGACTCTTGGGGTGCCTTACTCTTTGCTTTAGATCCTGCAGCTGTCCATCCTTGCCAAGGCATGTGGTGACAGTACTTAGCACGTCCTTCCGCTCCTGCTCAGTCAGATCCTGGAGACCTCTCAGCATGTCCGGCACCTTTAGGTCTCTGGAATCCTCCAAACCCAGGCATTTTCCTGTAAGGACTACAATGAAGAACCTGGCCCACCCAGCCCAGGCCGCTTCATTTCTAAGGCCTCAGGGGACCCATCATTTGTCCATCTTTCTTTTGGAGTTTCTATCAGTCTTGACCTGATAAAATAAAGCATCCTTCTTCCCAGACACCCCCCATCATTGTCTGCCACTGGCCCCACTTTCTTCTGCCCAGGCTTATTCCCCAGTCTAGTCCCAATCCCAATTCTCTGCTTCCCAAAAATAAAAAACATGGTTATTGACACTTGAAACTCATGCCGGGCATGTGTGTGCCCAAAATCCGAAGCGGGGAATGGAAAAGGGACTGTGGTGTGGCCATCCCCCCTGGGGGTGATTTCTTTCTTTCTGTCTCTCTGTATCTCTGGCGAGTACATGCACCCTATAGCAAAAATCTCTCTAAAAAAAAAGAATAAAAGAAAAAGGTTATTTAGTCCTAGCTATTCAGAGTACAGTCTTCAGGTCACATAGGAACAGTGAGGATTTAGAGGAAGTTAAAGCAGTGGTTCTCTTTTTCTTTTCTTTTTTTTTTAAGTTTACTAGGCGACGCCTGCGCTCACAGTGGTTTGCGGAGAAGCATGCCTCAATGAGAGATAGTCAAGCCACAATCCCTTCTCCATTTCTCCTACCTTTTGGGATTTAGGGCATGCATGCATGCACACATTCCCAGTATGTTTATCAAGCTGCCAGGTCTAGGACTTGAACCATGTTGTCGGCCATGTGGGATCCAGCTGCGCCAACCAGCATGCCACTGGCTGGCTGAAAGCAGTGGTTCTCCACCCTGACTGTGCATGAGAATCCCCTAGACAGTTATTACAAATCCTTGAGCCACACCTAAAACCTATTAAGGCAGACTGTCTGAAGAGAGGACTCAGACATCACCAGTTTTAAAGTTCCCTTAAGTGATTTCAAAGTCCAACCAGTAAGAACCTTTGTGTTCAGAGGAGACAGATGCAACTCCAGGATGAAGTTGAAACCTGTGGGGCACTGCCCTACCCTACCACCATACCCACTCAGCAGGCAGCAGTCTTGAGCCATATGGGCTGGGAGGCCTGGAGGGTGCAACTACCCACCTTTTTTTTTTTTTTTTTTTTTGGGCAGCTGTGTGTTTAGACACAGTTAACAAGGAGATTGTCACCAACCAGCTGCATGGATGTGAGCTGGCAGAAAACCACAGAGTAGAATGTACTGTTCCCTGGGACTTCTGGGTCTCTTGAAAACATAGGTATTCACTTCCATCATGACTCTGGCCCTCAGCCCAGGCTGGCTCACCTCATCCTTCAGCCGGGGCAGGGCTCCCATCTCCAAGGCTTCAACCACAAGCTGCCAGTCCTCAGAGATCTCTGAGGGCCAAAAAGAAGGTAGTTGGCAGAAAGGAGAGGCACATGGTAGGACAGGGCTTTTGTGGCTGATTGGGCCCAGAACATGCATCAAATGGCGGTTCCAGAGGGCCCCAGGGAGCACAAGGTGGGAATAATTCCAGACGAGCTTCTGCTGGGCTCCCGCATCCCCCTTAGGAGGTCGTAAATTATACCAAGGGGTAGAGGAGGCGGCCTCTCTGGTTGGGCTGGGGAAGGAGTCTCGTCCCTGCAATGTGGAAGGCAATGGGCACCCCTCCTCCTGAGATCTAATTCCCCACAGGCCTCTCTGCCCGGCATTTCCTCCACCTCAGCAGCCCCTTTCCTCACCTATCAAGGCATCCAGGAGGCCCAGAATGGCTTCTGCACGTTCTTTTACAAAATTCCCAGCAGCATTAAAAAGGCTGCATATGAGAGGCCCTGCTGGGCCCTCGTCCTGCAGCTCGCCACAGTCCAGGACTTCAGTCACCTGGGGCCAGGAGATGGGGAGATGAGCACCAGTCCCACCACAGCAGATTGCCCTCGGGGTGCCAGCTGCCCTCCCCACTGGGTCCTCTCTGCCCTGACTCTTGGGGTGCCTTACTCTTTGCTTTAGATCCTGCAGCTGTCCATCCTTGCCAAGGCATGTGGTGACAGTACTTAGCACGTCCTTCCGCTCCTGCTCAGTCAGATCCTGGAGACCTCTCAGCATGTCCGGCACCTTTAGGTCTCTGGAATCCTCCAAACCCAGGCATTTTCCTGTAAGGACTACAATGAAGAACCTGGCCCACCCAGCCCAGGCCGCTTCATTTCTAAGGCCTCAGGGGACCCATCATTTGTCCATCTTTCTTTTGGAGTTTCTATCAGTCTTGACCTGATAAAATAAAGCATCCTTCTTCCCAGACACCCCCCATCATTGTCTGCCACTGGCCCCACTTTCTTCTGCGAAGCGGGGAATGGAAAAGGGACTGTGGTGTGGCCATCCCCCCTGGGGGTGATTTCTTTCTTTCTGTCTCTCTGTATCTCTGGCGAGTACATGCACCCTATAGCAAAAATCTCTCTAAAAAAAAAGAATAAAAGAAAAAGGTTATTTAGTCCTAGCTATTCAGAGTACAGTCTTCAGGTCACATAGGAACAGTGAGGATTTAGAGGAAGTTAAAGCAGTGGTTCTCTTTTTCTTTTCTTTTTTTTTTAAGTTTACTAGGCGACGCCTGCGCTCACAGTGGTTTGCGGAGAAGCATGCCTCAATGAGAGATAGTCAAGCCACAATCCCTTCTCCATTTCTCCTACCTTTTGGGATTTAGGGCATGCATGCATGCACACATTCCCAGTATGTTTATCAAGCTGCCAGGTCTAGGACTTGAACCATGTTGTCGGCCATGTGGGATCCAGCTGCGCCAACCAGCATGCCACTGGCTGGCTGAAAGCAGTGGTTCTCCACCCTGACTGTGCATGAGAATCCCCTAGACAGTTATTACAAATCCTTGAGCCACACCTAAAACCTATTAAGGCAGACTGTCTGAAGAGAGGACTCAGACATCACCAGTTTTAAAGTTCCCTTAAGTGATTTCAAAGTCCAACCAGTAAGAACCTTTGTGTTCAGAGGAGACAGATGCAACTCCAGGATGAAGTTGAAACCTGTGGGGCACTGCCCTACCCTACCACCATACCCACTCAGCAGGCAGCAGTCTTGAGCCATATGGGCTGGGAGGCCTGGAGGGTGCAACTACCCACCTTTTTTTTTTTTTTTTTTTTTTTTTTTTTGGTGTTTTTTTTTTTTTTTTTTTTTGAGAGGTTTTTGCTATAGAGCACATGCGCTCGCCAGAAAGAGAGCAACAGAAAGCGAGAAATCACCCCCCGGGGGGATGGCCACACCACAATCCCATCTCTTCCATTTTCCTGTCGGGATCTTGGGCACGCATGCACAGGGGCCTGGACACCCTCTCTTGAATACACTTAGCTACCATACTTACCCAGAGAGGACAAAACACCATCGTTGAGCCACACCTCTGCAAAGAGATGAAGAAGAGTTTCAGAGGGTTTCAGATCTCCACCCAGTAAATTTGGATCAGACCTCTCTATCCCTTTTCAAGGCCCCTTAGGCAAGACAACCCTGCTGGGATCCAGGGAAAACCCCAGAAATTCCAGAGAAAGCAACATTCAGAATCACAGGTACCTGCTAGTCTGATCTCTTTATTTTAGCATTGGGAAGCTGTGACTTGGGAGGCTATTGGACTAGTGAGTGACAAAGTAAACTAGACCCCACTCCCCTCGGGGTCTATCCAGCATTCTTCTCAGTCAGTGCTTTCATGAGAACTGCCCGGGAAATTCCAATATCTTCCTGGGCCAACATGCCTTCAGTGGAGGCTGTGCACCTGGGACCCAGCACACCACCCAGTGCAAAGCAAGGCAGAGCAGTCCTGGAAGGAGCCTGGAAGCCCTGGGCCAACATCCAGCCCAGACTGCCTCTCCAACAGGCACGCTTTTCTCCCCGCCACCACAGTTCCCACTGGGTGCACTCTATCACATTTCAGTCCTAACAACTATTGTTGCATAATTCGAGCCATTTGTCATCCTCTTTTCAAAAATAATGGGCTTACTTAGTCTTTTTTTTTTTTTTAATAATTACTTATTTAACATTTACTTTTCTTTTTTTCCCCTTTGACCAGAGAGGGACAGAGTAAGAGAGAGACAGAGAGAGGGCAAGTGAGAAAGCAAAGCTGCCAGGTCCAGGATTTGAACCACATTTAGTCATGTGGGAGTCCAGCATCCCCAACCACCAGGCCACCTGCTGGCCCCTTATCCTTACTTATTCTGAAATGATGAACAGGAGGCCCAGCAGTTCACTCACCTGGAAAGGATTTTGTTTCGTCCCCGAGATTAATACCTAAGCCAGCACGAAGAGAGAGAGAGAACAACCAGTTATCAGATGGACCAGGTATCTCTGTGGAAGTTCCCTCTTTCTATGCCTTCCCAATTTCCACACCCTGACCATGGCGGCAACGACAAAGCTATTGACTGGATTCTGAGCGGGAGTTGCCACCTCTAGGAAAAAAACAGTGAGGCAAATCCTGTGTCAGAGCACGGAGCTTCAGTCCTTCCTAGGCCTGAGCCCTCCCTTATCCCTGGAGTCCTCACCCCACCTCCACACTCACCTGCCCGACCCCAGGCTGACCCAGAACCTGACTGAATCAGCCCCCACCCCTGCTGCTCCCACCAGGCCGTGCTTACTCATGCTGTCCTTGGTGGGGAAGACAAGCTGCTTTATTCGGTAGCAGAGGACCCTGTTGCTGGGGATGGTCAATTTCCTTCGGTGCTAGGAGAAAGGAGCTCACGTTGATGGATTCCTAGGCGCTTTCCGTAGTTATTTTACCCGACTGCCCAACCAACCTGTGAGGTCGACATTTCTGCCCCACTTTATAGATGACAGGACCAAGGCTCTGAGGGTGAGTAGTAAGCCAGTCTCACAGCTAAGAACAGTGCAGAGCTAAAATCTGAACCCATGTCTGACACCCAAATTCATGTTGTTTCTACCGTTCGTTCAACAGACGTTCACTAAGGACCACTTTGTTCCAGGCACAGTGGGTCCTACCCTCCTGCCTCCTAAAACGAGAGGTAGACAACCAACAAGGAAAACTGTCTGTGTGGGTCTAGCGTACGGCGTAGTGCTTACTTTGCTGGACCTGACTCTACATGGCCGGCTGTGGGTTGAGTCCCTGACCCAGTGACTTGAAACACGCCAGGCATGTGTGTGTGTGTGCTCAAGATTCCGGGAGGAGAATGGAGGAGAAAGGATTGTGGCGTGGCCATCCCTCCGGGGAGTGATTTCTCAGTTTCTCTCTTACTGTCTCTGTCTCTGTCTCTCTCTCTAGTGAGCACAGGCACCTTATGGCAAAAACCTATAAAAAGAAAAATCCCAGCAGTTTAATTATGAACCATAGGAAGTGCTATGAAGGAAATGCAAAGAAGGCACCTTTAGGGGGCAGTGGGACACCACCCACCCTCTCTTGGGGCAGGGAGGTCTGCTCTGGCTCCCCTGGACCTAGGGGGGGCCAAGGCTGGCCAGGTTGGGGGACTAAGGCTGGCTTTTCCCAGGCTCTGCCTCCCAGGTTCCTAACCTTGTGTTCAAGGCCGAAAACAATCTGGTAGAGCTTGTCCCAAAGTTTATACTGCCGAATACTTGTCAGAGTTTCCTCCTTTTCTGTCTCCAGAGTTTCTGTCACTATGTACAAGTTTTTTTCCTTTGGAAATGATTGGAATGAAGCCGGTAGGTCCTTCTTCAGCTTCCTGGAGGGAGCAGAAGGGGTTCGAGTTCAGGGTCACAGGGCCTCAGCTCCCAGTGACAGCTCTGCCTCTCCGTCAGCGAGGTCCAAACCAAGGAACATAGCACCCCATTTGCTTCACTTCACTCACTGTGGGTGGGGTGTGGGGGCCAAGTGAGAAGAAGCTCCCTAGCCCACATAGAGGGCTCCACGTGAAGAAACTGAGGCTTAGCCACAGGTCGTGGAGAGTCCAAGCTCACACCACTAGTCGGTATAGAACTGGGGTTCAAACCCTGATCAGGATAAGTCCGGAGCACGTGCCTTTCCCAGGACATTGAGACAGGCAGCTACCAACCCCAAGACACCCCTTCTCTGAGCAGGGGCCCCTGCTCCTCATAGCGACCCCGGGAGCCTGCTGCATCACCTGCCCTTGGGCTTCTAAGGCATCTCTGATTCCAGAAAGGAGTTTATTTTGTGACTTAAAGCAGTCTGATGGAGCTTCTGCTATTTGCAGCCAGAAGCCTATGAAGGAAGAAATGCCTCCGTGCCTCCGATGGCCTTCCCCCACCTGTCCAGTGCCGCCCACATACCCCCTCACCCTAGAAACAACCGACTCTCGAGAAAACCTCAGCTCCCTTAGAGAAATTCTGAAAGTCCTCCAGTAACACTGTGGTGGGGAGGGGTCGTTCAAGGGACCAGTAAAATGTCACAGCAAGCCTCTCAGTTTCTAATTTAAAAATAAGATTTTAAAAATTTTTGAAAAAATGAAAAACAGGACGAGCCGGGAGTGCAGTAGTGACACAACACTCTGTGATGCTGGATCCACATGAGAAGGTCCTGGGTCCGTGTCCAAGGCCTCCGTCTACACGCTGGGCACCATGTGTGCCCATGATTTGGTGGGTCATGGCATGAAGACTGTTGGAGGTGCCAGTCTCTGTCTCTCCCCTTTTTTCTGTCTCTCTATCTCTCATGGAAGTAATAAATCAGTAAACTTTAAAATTAGAAAGAAAAGGCACTCACTCCATTCAGGGAGAGCTAGCCCAGAGAACTGGGGGACATCCTCCCCGAGCTACTCCACTGACCCCACCTGGGGAGGAAAACACCGCCAACAAATTCTAGTTGATGGGAAAGGCTGGCGATGACCCCTTAAGCTGTCAGAAACTCCTCCTGCTATCTGAACCTCTGTGGCATTTGATTGATGCCACCCTGGTGGGGTCGGGTGGTGGCACCGTGCAGCAAATGTTGTACAGGGGTGCTTTGATTTCTTTGTGCTTCACTTCAGCTCCGTCACCAACAACCCACTGTGTGCTAGAAATCAATACAGAGGGGTTAGTAAAGTCAACCCCTTGATGTGAGTTGACCCTAGGCTAGTGGGAAAGAGAGACTTGGAAACCACTGGCTTGTCCGCACAGAGCAGTGGTCTGGGCAGCTCAGTACAGGAGAGAGAGGAGTGGGGTGCCCTGTAGTCAGGTCTGTGTGAGCCAGGGTTACAACCCTGGACGGTAGTATGTGAGTGAACCCAGGCATCAGAAGGCTTCCTGGAGCTGTTCCTGGAAGAAGGGGAAGGCTTCCTGAAGGTAGAGAAGAGGAGGGCTGGCTTAAAGAAAGGTGTGGGCTGGAGGAGTGCCGGGAGTAGGGAGTGAGAGCAGTCAGGGTGCCCCCACCCTCAAATGCCCTTGGCTCCCAAGATGGGCTTCTCTGCCCTCCCTCCCTACAGCTACCCAACTCCAGCCTCACTTGTTCTGAAGGGTATTCAGATATTGTGTAGATAGTCGTTTTGACAGGAGCTTGAGTTTCAGCTCATGGGACCCCTGGAAACTGCCTGTGATTGTTACTTCTCCAGAAACTTTCATTGTGGCCTCTCCCTTTGTGTCCACAGAGTCCTCAATACCGAACTCAGTCTTTTCACCTGAAAAGATAAGGGTAAAGGTCACGCAGGCACTCTCTTCAGAACACCTCCCTAAGCAGCTCTCCTGAGCTCCCCTCCCCATCCCCTTCCTCTGAGAGTCCCCCAGCTGGGACTCTCTGGAAAATGCTGTTCTCATGGTAAAAACATCACCCTGGAGTCACACAGTCCCTGGCTTGAGTCCATGCTGCCTGCTCCCTGGGTAAGGACCCTGGGTAACTCACTTAACCTCTCTGAATCTGCTTCTTCATCTCTTCTATAGGAGTGTATTCATAGTACTCACTTCCTGTGCTTGGGATTTTAAATAAAATAATCCAGTTAGGAGGCCAGCAGATGGCGTGGTGGTTAAGGGTGCTGGACTCCCACATGGCTGACTGCAATTCAAGTTCCCAACCCGGCAGCTTGCTTTCTCCCTTTCTCTCTCTCTCTCTCTCGCTCTCACTTTCACTCTGTCCCTCTCTGGTCAAATTAAAATAAATAAATAAATAGATAGATAGATAAAGTTAAAATTTTAAAAAAATCCAATTAGTCACTTAACAAAGTGCTTGGCACACATTCTAAGTGTTCAATCAATGTGAGCAAGTCCTACTTAACTATTTGAGAGACTTAAGTGTGACAAGGATGAGGAAAACTAAAGAAGTAGCAGTCCCTGCCAACTGGAAAATAAAAATTTAGCATGGGCCAGCAGGTGGTGTGGTGATTAAGGTGCTGGATTTCCACATGGCTGACTGTGGTTTGAGTCCTGGACCTGGTGGCTTGAAAATCACACTGGGTGTGTATGTCCAATAGAGGAGAAGGGATTGTGGCATGGCCATCCCCCCAGGGAGTGATTTCTCACTTCTCTCTCTGTCTCTCTCTGGCGAGTACAAGCACCCTATGGCAAAAAAATAAAAAAGGGGGGCCAGCAGATGCTGTAGTGGTTACATCGCTGGACTCCCACATGGCGACCATGGTTCGAGTCCCAGACTGTTGACTTGAAAATCATGCTGGGTGTGTGGGTGTGTGTGTGTGTGTGTGTGTGTGTGTGTGTGCCGAAGATCTTGGGAGGAGAGTGGAAGAAAAGAGGTTGCAACATGGCCATTTCCCCCTGGGGGGGAGGGGTGATGTCTCAGTTTTTCTCTCTCTGTCTCCCACTATGTCTCTTCAGTGAGCACACATGTCCTAAGGCAAAAAACCTCTGTGGGGGGTGAGGGGGTGACTAAAAAAAAAATTTTAGCAAAGTTCCATCTCTGGTGGCAAAGTTCCATCTCTGGTGTTTAGGTGATGGTCCAAGGTCACCCTGGACAGTCGCCCAGCTGCATGGACTCTGCCCTGACTGACCAGGAGCTCGATTTGGAGCCCGTAGCTGCCTGTGTCAGTGGAGAACTTGTGGACAAGCTGAAGAAGCCTGAGGGCCCTTCTCTAGATTTCCAGAGAAAAATCCCTTTGGAACTAGTGGAGAGATGAGAGTGGAAATAGTGCCTAGAACCAGTCCTGGACGTGTGACACTAACATCTCAGGCCCATTTATTTCTTGAACAGTATAAAAGCTTGCATTCTCTTTTATCAAAATGAAAAGAAACATAAAAACTTAGGGAGTTGGCTCCATAGCCAGGTGGTTAAGGGAGCCAGATCCCATACAGTTGACCATACAGTTCGAATCTTGGCCCCAGTGGCTTAAAAAACACACCAGACACAAGTATGAGAGTGCGCATAATTCTGACAGGATGGAGAAATGAAGGAAAGGGGATTATGACATGACCAGGTCCCACTATGGGAGCTTTCTCCTTGTCTTGTCTCTGCACACACACTTGGGCAAATAAAAAAAAGAGAAAGGGGACAGCAGGTGGCATGGAGATTGACGTGCTGGACTCCCACATGGCTACCGTGGTTCAAGCCCCAGACCTGGTGGCTTGCTTTCTCACTTTCCCTCTCTCTCTGTCTCTCTCTGGTGTCTGTGCCCTGTAGCAAGTTTAATAATAATAATAATAATAAATTAAATCATTATTTTTTTCTAAAAATCACAAGGGGCATGTGCGTGTCCTGCCCCAAATCCCAAGAGCAGAATGGAGACAAGATTCCAATGTGGCCCTCCCCTCAAGAGGTGATTTCTTTCTCTCTCTCTCTCCCTAAGGTGAGCACACACAGCTTATAGGAAACTCAAAATAAATAAATACAAATAAATAAAAGAAATGTGCTATATTGGGGAAGTCTAAGCTATAAGACTCCTCATTGTTTTTCATATTGTAACATAAGGCAAACTCCTCACTACGTTTCACTGTGAGACACTGAAACAGGTCTTCACATGAGTTCAATAATATTGATCCCGGGGCTTCTGAAACCCTAGGAACGCTAGGAATTGCTAGGTCAGAGGCAGAGATGGACTCTTGCTCTATGAATCCTCTCAAACCCATAGAGATTCCTGTCTATCGACAACTTCCCTTTGGGTCATAATATCCAGCGAGCATAACAGAATAGTTTAACAACAACCACCATAATGAAGAGCTTTTATCGAGTGCTCTGTGCTGTGATAAATGATTTATGTAACTGATTTTCTCTGGATTCTAAGAACAGTATTCTAGAGCCGACAAGGAAATTGCAACTTAGAGAGAGAAAGCCAACTGGTCCAGAGTTGACACAGCTGGAAAGTAGCAGAGCCAGGCTTGAAACCAACTCCTCTAGCTGTAAAGCCTGTATCCTTTCTTGCGTGTGTGTGTGTGTGTGTGTGTGTGTGTGTGTGTGTGTTAAGAGAGATTTTTGCCATAGAGCATGTGTGCTTGCCAGAGAGACAGGGAGAGACAGAAAGCAAGAAATCACCCCTCCCCCAGGGGTGGGGGATGACCATGCTGCAATCCCTTCTCCATTCTCCTCTCAAGATTTTGGGTACACACACACACAAGTGCCCAGCCAGGACTTGAACTGTGGTCAACCACGTGGGAGTCCAGTGATGTAACCATTACACCATCTGCTGGTCCCAATCCTTTCTTAACCATATACAAACTGCCTGCATTTATTTATCCATTTCTATGATAAATATATAACACATGAGAAGAGCTCAGTTCATTTTTGTTTTTTAATTTGCCAGAAGAATACCAGCAAATGGCATAATGGTCACATTGCTAGACTCCCACATAGTTGACTGCAGTCTGAGTTGCAGGCCCAGGGGCTTAAAACTCATGGCAGGCGCTTGTGCATGTGTGCCCAAAATCCCTAGAGGAGATTGGAGGAGAAGGGATTACGGCATGGCCATCCCTCCTGAGGGGTGATTTCTCGCTTTCTCTCTGGTCAGTACACATGCCCATAGCAAAAATCTCTCTAACAACATTTTTTTTTTGCCAGAGGGTGTGTGAGCTCACTGGAGAGGGACAGAGAGACAAAGGGAAAGCAAGAAAGCACTTCCCAACAGGCATGGTCATGCCACAGTCCTCCTCCTCCATCTCTCCCTCCTTTCAGGATTCTGGGCACACATACAGACTCGCCCACTATGTTTTCAAGCCATTGTGTCTCGGTCTCTAACTACAGAGTTGGCCATATATAATCTACCAGGTCATGGGCTGGCCCAGAGCTCAGTTAACTTAAAAGAAAATTATAAAGAAAAAAATGGAAAAGGGGACCAGCCAGGTGGCACAGAGGTTAAGACAGCTGGATCCCACATGGCCAACTGCACAGTATGAGTCCCAGACCCAGCGACTTGAAAATCCCACTGGGCATGTGTGCATACATGCCCAAAATCCTAAGAAGAGAATGGATAAGGGGGGATTGCAGCATGGCCATCTTCCCCAGAAGTGATGTCTCACTTTCCCTCCCTCCCTCTCTCTCCCTCTCTCTCTCTCTCTCTCTCTCTCTCTCTCTCTCTCTGTCTCTGGCGCGCACATGTGCCTTATAGCAAACTAAAAAAAAGGAAAGCAAAGACTATTCAGGAACAGTTCCCAAAATAAATAAAACTTCACTTCTCCCCCTCTCCTTCCCATACAGTTCTTCCATTAATTTTTTTCTTTTTAACATTGTATTAATTCATTCATTTCTTTTCATTTGACCAGAGAGAGAGAGGGAGAAAGTGAGAAAGCAAGCCACCAGGTCTGGGACTCAAACTGTGGCCAGCCATGTGGGAGTGTCCAGCGCCTTAACCACCATGCCACCTGCTGGTCCCCTCTCCATTAATTTCTTAAATTGAGGTGTAGGAACATGTACACACAGACTGACTGGTTGACTTGGCTGATAGCAGTAGGCAGTGGAGAATGGGAAGGAGCAGATGCGAGTAAGCCCTCTGGGCTCTTACTGACCTCGGAACACAGAATCTCGCTCATCAGACAGTCCTTTACTCTCCTCTTCCTCCAGGATGTCCTGCAGGGTGATGTCTGTACTGCAATATTGACGCCCCCAGATACTCTTCTCCTCTCTCACCAGATACAAGCAGTAGAACCTGTCAGCATCAACAAGACTTTGGACAGCAATCATGTCCTTTGCGTTCATCTCTTGTAGAACAACTTTTGTGATTTCCTTAAATATGCTGGGCATTGTGCTGGTACCAACTA